GTGTGTGTGTGTGTGTGTGTGTGAGTGTGTGTGTGTGTTAGAGAGAGAGAGAGAGAGTGTGTGTGTGTGTGTGTGTGTGTGTGTGTGTGAGAGAGAGAGAGATCTCCTAAGGTGAGAGGCAGAGAGTTCGACGGGTAGGAGGGTCTCATTCCACTCCCCAGTGCCCAGTTCCAGCACACACTCATCCTGGACACGCTCACACACTCACACGGGCCTGCGGACGAGAGCAGTGATTGTCGATTGGAGAAAGTGTGTGTTGTGTGGGTGAGTGTGACTGAACTGTGAGTGATGGATCTCTCGCAGTAGAAGGTAGAACTTGTACAGACAGGAGCTGCTGGAATGGCAAACTGCTCAGAAACACTGGAAACTTCAGTCTGATCAAAATGTCTGAGGTAAGAAGTTTAGTTTGAGTTCGAGTCTTTCTTAGAGAAATTAAATAAGAACAAAAGAGGATTGTGAGTTATGTGCATGCACGGTTACGGTGAGAAAAATGTGCTTTTTAAAAGCTTGCTTATTTTGTGAGCTGTTCTGTAGTGTGTGAGTTTACTGGTGTGCGGGACAAAAACCAGCTCAACTGTGCATGGAAATATGTTTCTATTTATTAAGAGCCTTTTCTCATTATCAGAGCAATTTGCTAGCTAGATCGTTCAGGAGAAACTTTATTGTGCTCTTCAAATGGGTGTGATGTGTCTTCACAAGTGTGTGAGTTTGTTGCTCGTCCACTGGAATGTAATTCAAGACAGGAGTAATTCTCTGCCATAATGTTTGTTCGTGGAACGCTTGTTTAATCTGAAGACTGATGTGAAAGACACATTCAATATAGACAATCACCAAAAGATTTTTGTTAGTGGGAAACCAGGAGTCAAAATTTTTTTTTCAGCTGTAAGAGATCCGGTCTCTGTCTTTGTGCTATGATGACGAGTTAGTGTCCCAAAGTGGGACTGAGACCCCGTTTCTGGGTGGGCAAACACAGTTAATGGCCTTGGGGCGTGAAAGCTTTGTGTGTGTGTGAGAGTATGTGAGTGAGTGTGTGTGCGCTGACTTCATTAAGCTCATGTTGATCAGTCACTGTTGTTTGCTGCTACAGGCCTGTTTTGTGAGATCTGACAGTAAAACTCCTTCTGTTAGAGATTCACCGCTGCGCTTGTTTTCACCGTACGCTGCTGCTTTTCTCTCTTCATATCATTCCACATCTTTTTGTGGTCCCAGTAGAGCTGCTAACTTGTACGCTTTGTCAAACTAATATCTGTCTGATATTATGTGATATTGTTTTAAAACATTTCAGTCATGATGTCACTTGGGACCTTTGTATCAAAGTTTACAAATTTTTCATTGCAAAATAATTGATTTAATAATCAATCAATCATAAAGAGTACATTGTTATAACTTTTAAGAAATGTAATTATTTCTTAAAGATTAAAATCCAAAATAATATGCTGCATCATTGTGTATAAAATATCAGTCATAAAGCTGTGTTATTCAACTGTTGGTAAAAACATGAATTAGCATGTTTGTATGGAATGCCATGTAAGACTAATAATGCAATACAACTACAAATTCTCACATGTATTTCATAAAACCTCAGAATTTAATGAAAACAGTAATGATAGAGCTTTGGAAAATAAACAGCACATAAGCCAGCATAAGTAAACATTTGAAATGTATTCAGAAATTAACCTCTCCAGAAGTTTCTTTGACATAACCTAATGCATCAAATTAAATAAAAATAAAAAATATATATCTTGTGCTTTTTAGGGACTCTCATGATGTAAATATGTACAGTACATTGGGAGGTTTGTGCATTTTCAATGATCGCTCTCTCTTTCTTTGTGTGTGTATGTATGTGCCGATGTCTTTCATAGTTACGGTTTAAGGAAAAATAGTTATGATGTGGTTCTATTGGCTATTACTTTGTGTTATTGCAATATAAACTTGATCTGTTGATTTATGCTAAAGTGATAATATGGAATTACACTAACTCACTGTATGTTTTGTGCCCAAAGGAATACTTTATATTATTTATTTATATTCTATCTATGTATGTAAAGTGAGGTCCAATGTAAAACTCATCATTAGTAAATTATCTGCATAACAGCAAAAAAAGGTGAATTAAAAACTGGACATGGAATTTAAATCTGGTGTCTCTCCAATGGTTTAATGACAGAAGCACTGGAGCTACAAAAAACTGATCAAGTTTATTCTCCAGCATGAGAAAAGTCCAAAGAGCATCTTGAGCTTAATATAAATACAGTGTGTGTGTGTGTGTGTGTGTATAGATATATATATATATCTATACACACACACACACACACAAGCGTGCGCGCGCACAAACATATATATAAGTGAAAGTATGAAACTTTACATATTAGATAGAAGACGGGTTATTTGTGATAATTAAATGCATGGTCTGTATTACAGTTCAATGACATTGTTATTGTGTGCGTTTTGACAGGCTATTTGCTGCACGGTGGTGAACTGCAGCTGTGACAGTTTCAAACCTGGTAAACTGAGGCGGCGTCTCTGTGAGCACTGCAGGCACGGCTGGGTCGCCCATGGTGAGTTTCACATTCTGAACAATATTACATTTCACACAAACATTCACACAACTTCAGACCACATTTAACACTCTTGACTGTTGTCTGTTTCTTCTCTTTAACGGCACTTTAAAATAATATTTTGGGTTCATTTCAAGTTAAGCTCAATCGATTAATAATGTTGTCTTTCCTTTTCTTAATTTTTTTTTATTTATTTTCTTTACAAGATCTGTTACACTGAGTGAGGCACTAGCAATAGAAACGAGGGATCAAATTTGTAAATGCTAAAATACTGATTTAAAATTATAGCGACAAGACTGTGCATGTTAAGATGATTATATTGTGGGGAAAAATGCTTACTAAACTTTTTTGTGCAGATTTACAAATTTTACAAACTGGTTTCCATGACAATGTAATGCCTAAAATAACCATCAAAATTATGAGCTCAAATAATATACACCTTTTAACAGAAGAATTTAAGTGCTTTTATAAAATTATAAGCTTCACACAATCCTCAAAATATTTAACCACATTTATTTCCATAGTAAATGCCTCCTTGTAATGTTTTTGTGTTTTTCTTTAAAGAAAATGAGGGACAGGTTAGTTTTTTTTTTTTGGTGATGATAATCAATATTTTTCTACGAATTCTGTTGACTGAGCTTAACTTGTATTGAACCTTAAATATTCCTTAAATTGGCATATTCAAATAATAATTACAATAAAGAAATCTGTTAGTTCTAAATTAATCTAAATTAATATTGCCTTTCTGACATTAAAGCTATGTGGCGTAATTTATAAATTGATGGCCAGTGTAATGTCCCAGTTTTTTGTTGTTGTTGTAATCATTAGTATTTGTAGATGGTAATCACTTACAATGTTGTCTGTAATTTCTCATTAGCAAATAGATAAAAGCACACTTATATTACATGAAGAATTCTTCTAAAATTTATAAAAATGCACACTTAAAGCCACAAAAAACCCAGACGAATGACAGAAATGCTTTCATGAAACATATAGAGATGCTTTGCTGATTTCTGTATGTAAACCAGTGTCTGTTTTGCTTAATTGCAGCTCTGAGTAAGCTGAAGGTTCATCACATGTACCAAGGAAGCCAGGTGGAGATTGTTCACTCCAATGTGGTATTTGATATCTGTAGTCTGATGCTTTATGGGACTCAGGCAATTCCAGTGCGTCTCAAGATCCTTTTGGACCGCCTCTTCAGCGTTCTTAAGCAGGAGGAGGTTATTCGGATCCTAACTGCACTGGACTGGACTCTCCAGGACTACATCCGTGGTTACGTCCTGCAGGTGAGCTGCTGCCCATCTGATCCGGTCACTTGAACCCACTCGCAGAAAAACACTTCAATTTGAGATGGATAATTACAGTTTTGTCACACTCTTCCTTGAAAATCCATTGGCAGCCACCGAGGTTTCTTTCATTCTATTTGCTTGTCAAGTATTCAGGTGCTTGAATTAAACTCATGGTAGTTCCTCTAGTGGAGAATGTAAAGTTAAAGCCTCTTCAGACGAATAGATGAATGCTGTATGATGAAATATTTATTCTGGTTACAACATGAAGCTGCTGCATGACTTTCAAAGCCTGCTGGCACTCAAGAGTAATTACAGGCGGACTGAAAGACTTGCCTGACTCCCCTCTGATCTCTCCCCTCCCCTGCTACTTCGGCAGGGAACCCCACATCATCTAAATGAAGAAAAATTACGCTCCAGAATGAATCTGCAGTAATTAGATCCACATGCATTAGATGTATGGATGGCTTGTTATTTAGTAACACTGTCAATCTGTCAGAAGTTATGGAGTATTTTACGGGCCAAGTGTAGAACATTTGTTAGTTTAGAATTCGTAATGCAAATGATATTCCTTGTGTATGTGTCTAGGATGTGGCCGGTAAGGTATTGGACCGCTGGGCCATAATGACCTTTGAAGAGGAGATTGTTACGCTGCAACAGTTTCTGCGCTTCGGAGAGACCAAGTCCATCGTGGAGCTCATGGCGCTGCAGGATAAGGAGGGACAGGCAGTAGTAGTCCCAACCACAAGAACCAATTCTGACATCCGCAGCTTCATTGAAAGCAGTACGCAGCGGCCTGTGCATCTGCCGGCTAAAGCCGAAGAAGCCGGTTGCAGTAATGGACACCATTTTGAAACGCTGGTCAACAATATGACCCTCATGCTGCCACTGCGACTGCTGAATTCTGTTCCGGTACCGTTGCTGAGCTCCAATAGCGATTCCAGCCACCAGGAGGCACCGATGAGACACGAGACGTCAGACGTGAGCCTTGACGCCGCTCCGTTCGACGAAGAGATGCTGCTGGATGCCGAGTCTCCAAAGATGGAGTCGGAAGAGTTTAACGTGAGTGGAAACTCCTCTCCCTCCACACCTTGCACGCCCTCCATCGCTTCTGAAGTCACACACATGTCTCCTGAGAACAAGGTGCGGTGTGCAGAGAAGAACGGATCCTTAAAGAAGGGTCGCGTGTTCTGCAGCGCCTGCGAGAAGACCTTCTATGACAAAGGCACTCTAAAGATACACTACAATGCCGTTCATCTGAAGATCAAACACAAGTGCACCATCGAGGGCTGCAACATGGTCTTCAGCTCCTTACGCAGTCGGAACAGGCACAGTGCGAACCCGAACCCGCGGCTGCACATGCCCATGAACCGCAATAATCGTGACAAGGACCTGCGGGGCAGTCTGAGCCCGAGGCAGGAGGACGGAGCCGAGGGCGAGAAGCGAGACTTCGCTGCTATCTCAGAAAGCAGGACCATCTCAAGTTTTATCATCCGCAACTCAGAGCCCAAACTCCATGGATCTTTGTCTAGCATGAGCCAGAGCGGCATCCTCTTTCCCAATCTAAAGACTGTGCAGCCCGTGCTTCCATTTTACCGGAGCCTGGTGACCCCGGCTGAGCTGGCTCATACGCCGGGCAGCCTGCCCTCTCTCCCACTTCTGTCTTCCTCGGTGCCCGTCAACACCAGTCTCATGCAGAGCGGCTCAGAGCCGGTGCCCAAGAAGAAGTCCAGAAAGTCCAGCATGCCCATTAAAATTGAGAAGGATGAGCTGGTGGAGGAGGGTGTGTCCGAGGAGGAGACTCCGCCCCTCAGCCCCTGCACAGACACAGAAAAGTGTGACGTTAGCAGCATGGGGTGCAAACCTGTGGACTGTGACGTCCGATCCGTCCTCAACTCACAGGACACACAATGGGACAAACTAACTCAGGAGGACAGTCGCATCATCTCGCCATCGTCTCCTTCTCTCTTTCACAATAAACAGAACGATGAGAAAGAAAGGGAGTTCTCAAAATGCGAAGAACCAGCATGCAGTTCGCGGCCAGAGCAGCCCTGCGGCCCCCGACTGGTCCATTTCACACACAGCAGTGAAAACTGTGCAGACGGCTGCAGCGACCCAGAGACCATATGTGCAGATGATAAAGACGAGCAGGCGCATCCATGCGAGATCTGCAGTAAAATGTTTAAAAACCCTTACAGTGTCAAAATGCATTATCGAAACGTGCACGTAAAGGAGATGCACATGTGCACTGTGGATGGCTGCAATGCTGCTTTTCCGTGAAGATTCAGTTTTGTAACACATTTTCATCAGTTCAGTGTGATGTTGCTCTACAATTAATTTAATATCAGTATGGTCAAAGCACTGTACCAGCGAAGGCTTAGGCTGAGGACAGCAGACGAGGACATACTGATGTGACTCAGAGCTGAACGAATCGAGTCTTACACTGGCTCCCACAAGCACACATAAACCTGTGGACATTTATTCCTTTAACTTTGTTTTATGTGTAAAATCTTTTGTAACCTGCCCTCCTCCACTCCACCAAAAGTGTATGCTGAAATGGGATAAGAAGGGTTATAAGGATTATAACACCAATCTAATCCACAATCATTTATTTGTGTTCAATAAAATAATTTTTGTGTGTTAATAAACAGTTATTTAAAAATACCAGTTAATGCTTACTTTTATACATAAACATAGTTAAGCAGGGAGAAGAAATAAAATATACCTTTTTTTCCCTAACCCCAACCCTAAATGTGATTTGTAATGACAAACATATCATTCACAATTTCAAGTTTGACAAGATCTGTTTTTCTTAGCAGGAAGAAAATAAGCCTGACATCAGACAAGATCTCTGATTCTCAGACAATTGAGAAGATGCTGTGACCTTAACTACACATTTATTTATTTTGAAAACTTTTTTTAATCTAAAGCAACGTACAGTTTTGTTTTGTGTGTGTCTTTGTCATTTGCACAACTTGCACTGGGTTCACTCAGATATGAAATACCTGTGACTAGGCTCAGAGTACAGGACATAAACAACAGACAGTATGTAAATTAAATGGTGTAAAAAAAATTAAATATATCTATGGCATAGAATGTAGAATCGTGTCTAGCCACATGCCATCTCTCAGTTCAACATGCACATTCCTTTGAATTTGTAATAATCACTATCTTCTGGGATTTCCCACCTGACTTGTGTAACTACTGTATGTGCGTGCATAGGACAGTAGACCACCACGGCGGAGCAGAGGGCCACCACGGTGGAGCAGAGAACCACCAGAGCCAGACAGTTGTCCACCACGGCGGAGCAGAGGACCACCACGGCAGAGAAGACCACCACGGCAGAGAAGACCACCATGACGGAGCAGAAGACCACCACGGCGGAGCAGAGGGAACCGGAAACCAGG